GTGGGTATGTTGCCATAACCTTGTCAGAGGGAACCTTTATGGAAGATGCTGCATGGGACAGGAAGTAATGCTGCTTTGGACCTCTCTGCTCAGCTTTAGAACATAGCTGAAATGATCAGAAAGTTGAAAGGAAAAAAAATATTTGAATTGAATCTTGTTTCTATATGGGAACACTTTATATTTAATTTCTGGATTACCCTGGAGAAGTTCATTAAGTGTTTGTAATAGTAGCTGTGAATAGCTCTAGCTCATAGTTGAAGACCCCGCTGTGCTGGAAAATAATCAAACATAAAAAAGAATTCCCCATGTAAGCAAACTTTTCTCAGTTGTATACTTATACTGAGTACTTTATGTGTTAAGTTATGGTTCTAGATTTTTGTGTTGATTATTTTCAGTTGTACTTCTTGTTCAATTTTGCTTTGTTCCTGTGTGCTCAGTTGGGTGGTCCTGTGTTTATACTTTCTCTTTTTTTCCTTCCCTTAGCTGCCGAAGTTGTTTGATGGATGCTACTTCTATTTTCTGGGATCTTTCAGTAGCCACCAGAAGAGTGATCTTGTGGAGTTGGTCAAAGCAGCAGGAGGCCAAATTCTGGTTAGGCAGCCAAAACCAGACAGTGATGTGACGCAGATGATCAACACGGTGGCATACCATGCAGAATCGACTTCTGACCAGCGGTTTTGTACTCAGTATGTCATCTATGATGTGTCTTCTAAATTCAAGCCGGAGAAAATTCGTCAGGGTAAAGTCTGGATGGCCCCCTCCAGCTGGATTATAGACTGTGTAATGTCATTTCAGCTGCTGCCTGTAAAGTGAACATCCCTGTCTCATGAGCAAGATTAAAAAAGAAAAAAAAAAAAGAAAAAAAAAAAGGTTAAAAAAAAAAAAAGTGTTGACTCCTGAGCATTTGGGAAACTGATAAATACTGGTCTGAAGCTATGATTTATGTTTTGCACTTGGAATACAGGAGAGCTTTGACCACGTAAATGAGTTGCTAAGTTCACTGTCATGTGCTGGAATAAATGACCTTACGATGGAGGAGGGAGGTAAAGATGCTACCTTGAAAAATGTGCCTTGGATTATTTAGTAAGCTTTATTTTTGCATTTAACTTCAGTGTAATAATCGATGACATTTTGTAACTAAGATTTTTCAAAATGAAACCTTTTGCATTCTTGACGTAAATCAGGCCTTCATAGGTGATAGAACATAACCCCATTTCTTTTGTGTTTAATATCCTTTGACAAGGATCTACTACTGTATGTGTCAAGATTTCCCTGCCAGGCCAGAATGTGTATTGAAAAAGTCTTTTTTTTTTTCGTTTGAACCTAGTCATTTGCCTGTATAGACACCTCTTCTCTCAAATGACACATGATGTTCCCCATAACTTGTTACAGCTGAATGTTGTAGGAAATTCTTGTCATAGGATAAGCCTTCTGGAAATTAAAGTAGAACTAATGGCCTGAATTCATTTGAACAGAAATATTTTTGAAAATGCATCTTTAAATATTTTAATCTAAAATTCTTTATTTGTAGCAAGAGTGATGCTTTATTTGCTTCCATCCATCTTCATGCCTGTAAATGTGTAATTTGAATTCAACACTATTTTCTGGAGGATTTTAAGAGTCAGAACGCTTCATAAATTATAATCAAAAATACTCCTGTAAGTATAGATTGCTATCATGGTTACATGGAAAAAAATAATGATCACAAAACAATTATGCCTTGCTTTGTGCAATTGTACTTAAACTTGGCTGCAATGGAGCAGTATTGATTCTTGCATATTTGTTACAGTTTTTAATTCTTTCCTCCAATTGATCATAAGTTATTGTCAATCTCGCTGCCTCTCTCTGTGCTCTTATGTCACGTAATGCCTTACATCTCGTGTGTTCCCTTAGTTTTTGAATTCGTAACTTAAAGATTTTGTCTTGCCGTGATATACAATGGAAATGATGGTTGTGGGATAAAATGAGGTTTGGGTTTTTATTGCTTGTAATAAAACTTACGGTGTCAGTCACTTCGGAGTGTCTTCTTGCATGAGCTTAGCTGCAAAGTATGTAGCATGTCTGTATCTCAACAGGTAAATGGGAATGGAAGTACTTCTCTGTGCACCTGATAAGCTGTGAAGATGGCACATCCCATCTGCACGAGTAGCTCTGTAGCGTAAGAGTTCTGTGTAACCATCGCGCTTGGAGATCCCATGCTCGTTTTAAATGTCCTCTGTAGAACTGTTGGAAATAGACACTTCACAGATAATAGGTGTACTCCTCAATAGCAGCTACTAGAACCCAGTAGCTGGAGTGTCTTGATCTATCACTTCAGCTAGACTGAATCATTGCTCTTCACTAAATGCAGTTCTCGAGTACTTGCGGGTCTGGGTGAGCAAGCAGAAATGTAAGGCTCGTTAATAAAGGGAGTAGCACGTGGGATGAATGTGTTTGGGGTTTTTGTGCACATAAACACTGGAAGCAAATAAGGCACTGAGTCAATACCGTGTGGACTTGGTCATTTATTTTAACAATTGTAGCACATTTTAACTTGATGTTTCATAGCACATCAATATACCTAATGGGGTATTCTTTGCAAAAGTAGCAGCAAGTCTCTGCGAAATTTGTAAGCATGGAGCTTTTTTGCTCTCTGCCAGGAAGGAGTTTTGGCCCATCAGGCATCCCTTTCCATGATCCTACCTAAAGGCAGAGCAGATTTACAAATTTTGAGGTATTGTTCCCTGGAAGCTGAGAAGAAGCTGTTAGAAAATTGCCATTAAAAAATAAATAAATCACTTGTTGCAATTTTGCTCCCATTTAATTTGACTCCTTTGAATCAAGTCACATTCCCAAGCATAGTTACTATCAAATCATGTTAAGAATCCCTCCTTTTCTTGCTGAGGAGCAAGTCTTACCCCTCTAACTGAAGTATGCTTGAGATTAACTCTTGTTTCTCTCCTTCAGGGATTTGGAGATGGAGCCTGGACAACTTAGGTATGCTGAAAGAACCCGACAGAGCTGGAATGAGTTGACTTCGATGCCAGAATTGAAGCAGTTGTCAAATGCTACTGAAGCAAGGGGTAAGTATTTAAAAAAAAACAACTGAACAGAAAAACAAAAGTTCAGCGATGCAGACCCTGATTAATTCAGTGCTGCTAATCATAAACAGAGGTATAGCACTTGATTAAAGCAGGTCTAAAAAAAAAAATAAAAGGTCCTGTAAGGATAAATCAAGTTCCTGAAACCAATGGATGGATTTCGGCTGATAAAAACAAGGTTATAAAATCATGAGTCATGTGGCAAAGGGTGGGGAGGGATCATTTTTCTCTGTCTTCAAGTGGTGCATTGAAGGAGGCTAGTAGGAGGCAGGCTCGAAATAGAAGAGGTATTTCATGCCCCTCGAGTTGGCATGGGGCACTGATAGCTGGTTTGGGTGCTAAGGGGTTACAGCGTGGTATGAAGTAGGGTTCATCAACAAAAATATGTTAAATGCTGCTAAGAAAATCAGGTTATAACATGGGTTGGTGCCAGCATTCTCCTAAAATCCATGTACTTGATGTGTGTTGATGACTGGGTCATTTTTAGAGGCAAAAAATAGTCTTGTATCCTGGATTATAGATGTTTTAATTAATCTTTTGTTTCTACCTCAAAAATGCTGTGAATCTCGGAAAAGCTAGTGATTTTTTCAGGCAGCTTCCCCTGAAATTCTCCGTATTTCGTTATGAATTAGCTCACCTGGGACATGTGGTATCACCTGCAGTAGCAATGTCTGCAGCTCAGTGATACCGGTTTAACATTGCTAATAGGTAATGGGAGATATTGTTTTAAATCAATTTTGTACAACCTGTTTGTGTGGTCTAAGGGAGAATATGAGTCCTGGTGAGTATTTTTTTTAATTATTAGTATTTTATTTTTTTTATGGATAGTTGTGTTTATTGAAGTGAAACACATCTGAGAATATGGAGGTGCTTCCTTGCATCAGTGTCCTGGGTAGATCCCAGGGAATATGATCATAGAATCATAGAATCATAGAATATCCCGAGTTGGAAGGGACCCTTAAGGATCATCAAGTCATAAAATAGGTTATCTCTCACGTGTCTCTGCTTCTATTTGGTTGCTTGTTTTCTTATCCCTAAAATATCTCCCACCAGTTCCTGTCTGAATAATTGAGATAAATTTTTGAGGGAGAGCGATTAATTTCCTTAAGAAATAAATGTACGCTGGGCAAGCCTGGGAAATTGGGATGCCTGGGGAAATAATTCTCTTTGGACTTCATTCCTGCAGCTGTAAACCCAAATCTGTCCTATGCTGAGGATGGATTTGATGTTATCTGAGAAGTGGCTTCTGAGGAAGAAGTGAGTGGCTCGTGAGAAGGTCCTGGAGTCAAGTGGGAGAGCCAGGAGCTAGGTTATTTCTGCAAGTGTTTGGGGGAAATAACAGGCAAACAAACCAGTGATAGCAAGCAAGCTTTGGGTCTCAGAATGGGCACATGTGGGAGATGCTCATGGGGTGAATTTTGATGTCAGATTAACCGATATTAATCAATTTGGCTCCCATCTCCTTTTTTCTGACTTTCTCCCAGACTTTGCAAGAAACATTCAAAGTAGGCTTGAATTTTATTTTAAAATCTATAGGGAAAGGTCTTTGGACAGCCAATAGTGGTTAGGAAGCAGGCAGTAGTGTCTCTTACGGAACAAATGAAGATTCAGCTGTTTTTAAAAGCGGTACAGCATGTTCTGCCTTTCCAGACCACTTTGACTTAAATTAACGCTAGTTTAACTACCGTTAAATTACCCTTAAAAGCCAAGGAACACTTTGTATGTAATCAGGTGGGCGAAGGTGAGGAAGTTTCCCACCTTCCTTCTGTTTATTATTATATATATAATATATATATACATATATATTGAAGATGCATTTGCTGTGGGTGCATCTTTTTTGAAGAAGCTGCCACAGTGAGTGCTGCTCGCTGGGCCCGGTGCTGCTCTGAGCATCCTGGCTGTAGTTTGGGTCCGGCTGGATCTCACGGTCTGTAGCAAAATTTAACAATTTTCCTGCAGCATAAAAGACCTGGAAGAACATTTAAAAAAAAAAATCTAATTGGGAGCCTTTTAATTGAATTAAATATTAATATGGCTAATGCGATCGATGCCGTATTGATTGTGTTAGCCACAATAATGTTTAATTCAATGAGTCTGCGGTGCTGGACCTCTTCCTTCCCTGTATTTATTCGGTATTGTGCAGCAGCACAATGCCCTTATGCTCTGCCCCACCTCATGCTGGGGGAGCAGAGACAATATTGCTGTCGATGTAAGCATTGCCCGTCACCCCCACACGCTTTGCTTCTGCAGCCCGGGTCCGATGCGATGGTCCTGTCCCTCCCTTAGCAGCTGAGTCCCAGCAGCTGTGGCAAAACGGGAAGATTTCCTCCCCGCAAGCTCCCTACCATGTTCCTGAAGAGGTGCCAGGTTCTGGCTTTAAACTCAGCCAACCTTGAAGAATTTTATTTGTGGTTGTAAGCAGAAGGTTTTTATTAAATTAAACTTCATGGTTTTGTTTAACTGAAAAAATCGGAGGCAGATGTTCTCCCCATTTCAATCCACTTACAGTACAAGCTTTCTGGCCTCTGTTTTATTTATTTATTTACCTATTTATTTAATTATTTATTGCTGTGTTACTCTCATTTCATACCACCTACATTTGTCGAATCCAAGGAAAATCCTTTTTTTTTTTTTTTCTTTTTTCTTTTTTTTCCATGCGTTTCCTCCTCAGCTAAGCAGCAGGGCTGGCAGGTACCAGCGTGAGTCCACGCCGATGGTTTCTGGCTGCCTTTTGGGGTAAATGGGGCTGGGCTGCAGGCTCCTCCGCTCTCGGAAGGTGGCTGTGAGCTGTGGCTGCTGAGGAGGCTAAATCATCATTTTCTTCTGTGCCCTGCAGGTGATAAATCTTTGTACATGTTAAAATATTTGATCACTGGTGGCGAAACACGTCTGTGTGCAGCAGGGAAAGTGGCTATAACCAGCCCTTGGGATGTGTTGCGTATTCCCACACCTAATTAGAGCACATTAAGGTAACTATTGAAGCTGTCTTTGCGTATTAAATGATAATATCCACTTCTCCTGCTTCCCTTCTTTCCCCTTCACATCCCTGAAAGAGAAGTGCTTGAGTGAAGAAAACCTCAAATAAAGACATTTGAGGCCGTTTTGTGTCGGGAGAGCCCAGGGTCACCCCACCCCGTTCAGCTCCTGCCTCACACCGTGCCATGAACACGGGGTGAAGCTCCCAGTGCTCAGCTCCTCACTGGTGCTCAGCCTCCAGCCCTTCCCCTCTCCAGGCCCCTTTTGCTGGGTTTCTGTGCCCAGAGCAAAGCTGGGAGCTGGCTTTAATCATTCTGCACTTGCAACCATCTCTGTCCCTGCCATGCCCACGCTGGATTTTTACAGAGATTCCCTGCGTTATAACATTTGCACACCACGGTTCCCCGATGTTTCCTTCTAATGGATTTTGCATTAGTAGCTAGTATCGGGAAATCTAGTACCAAAAGGTTAATGTACATCCATTAGTCCTTTCTCCCCCTTCCCTCCCCTTTTTCACGTGCTAGTAGAAGACAACCAATTTCAGTAAATACATTAGGCCTAGAAAAAGTCTGGAAGCACTTGAAGCTCTCTATGTGCAAAGCTGTGGGGCTGTTAATGTTGTCCTGCCTCAGCACTGCAGGATTGGCAGATGCTGAGTGATGCTTGTCAAGCGCTTTCCAGCCTCCACCATCTCTCTTTTCCTCACGAAAAGAGCTGGGGGTTTTGGGACCAGCTTTTTTGTTGCTGGGTGGATTACTTTGACTTGTCGATGTCCTGCATGAAGCTGGGTTTTCACCCGTGTGCTCTCAGCTCTGGGCAAACTAAAGAGGAGCAGTAGCAGGGCACCGGGTGGACAACCAAGCTCTCTTCTCCTGGGGCAGGACTCTCCATGGACCTGCAGCAGATGGTTTTCTCCCTCCACCCCAAAAAGCCCATGTAACAATTTATTTCTTGCTAATTGGAGCAAAGCTGAACCCCAAGTATATCTCATTGCCTTCCCTGACCCGTACTTCAGATTTTTCTGAAGCTTTTCCCATCTATTACTCTAATGACCTCAAGTCGCAAGTGGGAGGAGGACTGGTGATTTGTTTTGCTTCCCGATGTGTTGATGATTTGCAGAACGGGCTTTGTTCTTTAACTGAAAACTTGTGTTTTAGCAAGGCAGCCCTTTGAAAGTTAAGCGTTTGGGTCATGATACTGGCACGCTGGTTGTCTTCACACTTAGCACTCACTTGGCCTTGCCTTTGCAGCCTCCTCCCGAGACCCTACCGGAGAGCCCCAGCAGCACCCTCCTCCTGCACCTTCTCCCCGTTATTTCCAGGCACCATGCCATTATTCAGGCTACATGGCATGAGTGCATGCGCTGAAATCTGTGCTCCCTGGAGAAAAAAAGACGCAACACTCCCATGCCCCTGCTTCTCCAACTCTTCTCCAGATCCCAGGTAAGCTCTCCTCTTCTGGCTACTCACTGACTCAAAGATGTTTATGTGAAATTAGGGGTGCACAAGCAACTCTGGGTATGCAAGTTGAAAATGATGCAGAATCAAGGCCAAAAGGGAGAAAAAATAACCCTGTGTGCTTTAACTTAATGAGAAACCATTCACATCTTTCCATTTCTGATCTGTATCTTTCCATTTCTATTCTAATGGTAATTACTGTAGCAGTTTATTAACAGAGAAATCATTTGATGGCTTTCACATATTCCCATACTTCAACTATCTAACAACCTATTGATTCGATAGCTTGGCAGCATTCCTGATTGAGGAGCTGGAGTTTGATTTTTTTTCTTTTTTTCTTTTTTTTTTGAAGCACTTTGATCATTTCACATGCAAAGGATAATTATTTTTTTGGTTGAAACAAGGGATGGATTGCAGATCGATGGAGTCTGCTGTATGTTCTCGTGTGTTATCCCTGCCACACCCCGTCAGAGCGTTTCCTTACGGAAGGAGCTTGAAGAATTGTTTGTGGCTTGGATTTCTGATCCCTGGATTACTACAGCCAGCAATGGAAAGGTATGGGACACACCTGCAGGGAGGTAATCTGCCGAAAGACCACAGCATTAGCTGATGATCATACTGTCATTAAAGCTGTTAAAATCCCTGTTATTATATTGGGAAAAAGAGAAACGTTTGACCTCTAGGAGGAGAAGCTGTACCCCCGCGGGGCTTTTTGTGCCCGTGACCCTAAAACAGGGCTCCTAACTGCTTTGTTAATCACTCACATGCCGTGCTGAGATGGCCCAGCTTGATCCTGCAATGCCTAGGTGACCCCAGGACCTATTGGGAATAAGACAGCGGGAGGACTTGAATTACAGGTTAGGCATTTTCCCGTCTCATATATCACAGACTGAAAGCTTTATGACTTCGGAGCTTACTGTATTAATTTTATGCATGAGCGCTTTATTTTTGCCATACGCGATATATCACCGGCTTACTAGAGCAAAATATCATTAGACCTGGGAAGGGATTTGGTCACTTACACTTTGTCACCGAGGATCATTGCGCGTAGATTATGTAGGGCCGTACGGTGCCATTTCTCATGTGTTTATTAAGCGATTATAAATATCGAGCAGCGCGCCTTCAGGGGACACTTGGGATCTGTTATTGTAGCCACATTTCATGTAGAAAGATGGCACACACACCGTGATTTGTGCCTCAGGAGGCACCGTCGGAGGGTTTGTCTCAGGAGAAGACATCCCTTTGTGGTGGGAGCAGAAGGGACCCAGCTGCCATCGTTGTGTCTCCTCTCCCATCCTTTTTTTTTTTTTTTCCTAGAGAAAAAAAGAAATAAGAATAAAGAAAAGTTATAATGCATCCTGCATGAGAGTCACTGAAGGCTGGGCCTCTTCTGGAGACCAATTCCTCTTTAGGTATTTACTTAAAATTGTATTTAAAATGTTTCCAGCTGGGTATGTAAAGCACAGCCTGAAAGCGTGGCTCTTCTCCATCTCTGTATTTCTACTTATAACCAAACAACACAAGCCCACCTTTGATTAAGTGATCCACAGAAGAAAAAAAAATGCAATCTGCCTCTCAAATGTTAATTAATACTTCCGTGATTCATTAATGAAAAGGACCGAGACAAGAAGAAGTAGGCAAGCAGGAAAGAGCCTGCATAAATTCATGAGCAGCCTTGATGGAAGTCTGCACTGAGCCCGAGCAGTGTTTGCAGGAAAATGGGGTAAGAAAGGTCTGCAGCAGGCCCCTGGAGGAGGAGGAGGCATTGCCCTGTGTTACATGATGGCGTGCTTTTATTAGTTTGATGATGTGCGGCGAGACTATTTCTCTTGGAAATGGGTCTTTGGTTAACATTTCATTTTCCTTCCCAAAGTCAGCTCTCGCTGGCAGCGATATGAAGCACAGCTCCCTGCAATTGGCTGGCCCCAAACTTTATTAATACCACTTGTTGCTGCCGTAAATGATCTGTTTCAGGACAAGTAATAAAGCTCTTCTTTTGCAGGTAAGCACGCCCTTGCCTGTTATTGCATGGAGTTTCCAGAGCAGGGGGAGAATGAAAAATCTGTTAATAAAAAATAAGAAGAATAAAGCTCATAATACGTTGTACCCACTGTTATATCACTTTTATGCCGGCTGCTTCTCTTTAGGAACTGGAGGCCAGGCACTACTTTAACTAAATTGGACCTTTTCTGATGTGATCTATCCTACTGATATCATGTTTCCAGTCATTTTCACATGGATCCAAATGACAGCGCCTGGAAAGCCACCAGCCTCACTTCTGCAGACCCACAGAGGGCACAAGTTTCCAGGGTGGTGCAGGTCCCATCCATTAGCATTAACATACATTCCTCTTCGAGTGGATATGAGAAAATTGGGTTGTGGGGCCTGCTGCTCTTACCCAGGGGAATAATTTGAAGTGTGATGAGTGGAGCTTCTGATACCAGGGCTGGGGAAGGGCAGGAGACGCCTGGTGTCCCCTGTGCTGGCTGCAGCCCTATAGCATGAAGCCAGGTTTTCTTCTGCAGGAGCAGACTCTGGCCCAAATCTGTGCTTGTTTGAAGGGAATGTGACTCAGCTGTTTTCATGCTTCTTTCTTGCCGTGTTTTCTAACCTCCTCAATGTCTCTCTCTCTTGAATTGTGACAGAAAGGCTGTGACACCTCGAGGTCTCCCTAGGACAAGGCTTGAGAATGGTCACCCGCCGGCTGCCCCAGCACAGGGATGTGACACAACGCTTGCTACGTATCGCAGTGGTTTACAAGAGGTGGGACTGCAAATGATGCCTCGGTCCCCAGACTCCAGCTGGGTGGAGACCGACCTTGGATCTTGGTTCTTGGATCTTTGCACCCAAGAGGAGCAGGCAGGAAAACCCCATCGTCTCGTGGCCCTTGTGATATCTCCACCTGGTAGGAATTACAATATCCCCAATTTCCCTGCGCTGTCCCCTTGCTGGGAGGGGAAATCCTTCACCCTCGGGGAAATTTTAACAGAGCAGGGCTCATGAAGGGTGGCCCCAAAGTGCCTTCTGCTCCTTGCCCTGGGCCGCCTTCTATTAGATATTTCTCATGCTGCTGACAAAACAGTGGGATTTAGGAGGTTTTTAGTGAAACCACGAAGGCTAATACATCCTACGGGACTTCACACCATGGTAACAAACAGGCTTTATTTTCCAGGCGGGTCTCCATATGTTTTCTTTTAATGCTGGCGGGGCAGGGAGGGGTAATGCCTCTGTTTGTTTAGAGATGCAATTAACCCAAGCGCAGAGGGCTGCAGCAAGCCAAGAGAATAACCTTGAATCCAGAGAAAGTTAGGGGAAATTTAAAGCCATCTGCAGCTCCAATGGGTCCCTGCGCACCCCTTTTGCTCACAGTTTCTATTCATGCCGATAAAGTGCCAGAAGATATGCAATACAATGGAAAATTGCTTCTTTGGGTATCATAGCATCTTGACTTAGAAGTGCTTTAACCTTGGCCTCATGCTTCCTGCGGGGCCTGTTGTCTTTGCTGCAGAAGTGCCGACACCAGCCGGGAGCGTGCAGAATTTTTCATTCGAGTAAAATTAAAGCCCAAAACCTTTTACCATCCTCTCGATTCCAGGCATGTTCTACCTGCATTAAATTGAGCTTAATGGACTGCAAAACGAGTGTTTCAGCACGTATGGGAGTGGGTTATTTGCAAGAGGACAGGTTCCTCACATCCCCTTTCCCCCCAGCCCTGCCGTCCCCCAGGACCACGTGCGTCCATCCACGTGGGGGACGAAGACATCGCTACCACAGAACAGCTCCAGAGCAAAGCCACAGAAGAAGTCTTCCAAAAAGCCTTTGAGGTGGGTACCAGGGTGCTCCGTTTCTGCAGATGGCTCCAAGGCATGGGCTGCAGCCTCCAGCCTGGCTTCAGCATCATCGGCATGCAGCAAAACCCAACAACAACCCATCCACGCTGCTCCGCCACGCATTCAGGTCTCAGCCTGCAGCCACTGTGGCCAAAGGGTGTCCAAGGCAGAGCCAGCCTCTGCGTGGCCTGCAGGGTGGGTCAAGGTCATGGTCTGCCTAGAAAATCCTGTGTATTTAACCCTGTTTTGGGTTAACCCAAACCCATACACACCCCCACCCTGTCCCCAAATCACTTCTGGAAATGTAGGAGGTACATCTGCAACTATAAGTATATATATGGTGTCTTAAATATACGCGTGCAGACACTTCCTTTCAGTATGTTATTGCTCTGTTCCCAGTGTTTTAAAAGCTAACCTTCCCCACTACAAAGGTAGGTCCATTTTCAATAAATTTGTCATTTTCTATATTGAATTGCTGTTGCAAAAACATATAATTTTGCTGTATAAAAGGCATTCATTCACTATACATTCACAGGGGCCTTCTTTTCCCTTCAACAGCCACCGAAGAGAAACACATCATTGCTCATGCTGTGCTGGAGGCTGTGGGTTTGCTCTTTGGCTTCATGTTTTGCAGCTCCGTGCTGATGCTGCCTGGCTCCAGGCTCCCTGCAGCGGGGACAGGGACGGTCGTGTCAGGTGGGACTCGACTCACGACGTGCCACGTAATGTATTAACGAGGACGGAGGAAAGCAATGCTCTCTGGATGGGCTTTGCCACTGTTTGGGGGACAATTTGGGGTTAAAAAGTGTGACTTTGGGGTAAATATCCCTGGGAGGAAGGATTGCCTTTCTAGAGCCATGCATGTTTCTCTTCTTCTCCCCATCTCCCACCATGCCTGGGCCAGCTGTGCAGTTTCGCTGCAGCCGGGGTTTTGCCCAGGGGAAGTATTTGTGTGCTTCCCTCCACAGTCACTTTTCCATCTGCAGAAGTCTCTGTTCCTCACATTGAAAGTGTTGCCTGTACGACCCTGCTCTTCTCTTACTCCATTTCAAGAGCATTCCTTGCCTTCCTCTATTTACATGCCCCAGGCTGTACCATTTCTTACTCTGTGCCCTTCATCCTTCATCTTTCCAGCCCAACTCTCCACCTTCCCTGGCTCTCTTCCTTACCAAGTGCCTGTCCTTCTCTCCGTCCTTCACCACTTCCCTCCCTTTTGGTCACATTCTTATCTCCTCTGTCTCCCATTTAATCTCTGATCTAACTTGGGCCAGTCCAGCTCGTACAGAGCAGTGGCATCATTTGGCCGTCCGTCCGTCCGTCCGTCCATCCATCCATCCATCCCTTTATCCCATAATCTCAGTCTGCAGCCCCCGTAGTCCCAGCTGGCCTTACAAACGAGCACACACTATGGGGTCCTGGCGGTGTGCCCCCTGCTACCAGGCCACCCTGTGCCACGCGCCCCGTCGAACCTGTGCAGCTCTGAGCACAGCCCTGCTGCAATCCAAACCCGTCCCTGAGCATCACCCAGGGGAAGGGGAAGGCCGGGGGGAGGTTGTGCTCCTCCATCAAATAACATATGTATCAGACACCTTTCCCTTGAGACGGCAGCCTCTGGAAGCCCAAGACGAACCTTTCAACAAGATTAAAGAGATGGTATTAATTGCTATCGATCATGGGTCAACAAATTAAATTGCATCTGCAACTGCATCTCTGAAAGGTCTAAATGAGAAGAGTAGTTAATGGGTCTGGCTGGCCCAGAGCTGTGATTAATTAAAGGGAGAAATGAACTAAAACACACACACAAAAAAAAATGGAAAGAAAGGAGATTGAGATGAGGTTGAAACGCTTTGTAAATAAACACGCTCAGAAAAAAAAAATGTATCTGGGGAGAGCTGGATGGGATTTCAATTCCGGATTCCACTCTGTCAGACCTGGGGCTGGCTGCCACGATTTTGGGCTGTTCTGCTCTGAGTACCCCAGGTGCAGCTGAAGGGGGGTCAAAACAGGGACCTGGTGCCTAACCCTGCTTGATCTGGGGGAACCAGAGCCCTTCCAACATCTGAGCCAGGACCTCTTGGTGCCCCCACAGTCCATGCTCCTGGGAGCGATGCTCCAGCTCATGGTGCATGGTCCCTGGGGCTCCCTTTGGCTTTATTTATTATTATTATTATTTGGATTAAAAAATTTTGGGGGGAATAACATGCTCGTGATCCACCTCGCCACGGGCAGAGCAGAACCAAAAGGGTTTTCCCGTGGGGAGCTGGGGCAAGGGAGCAAGGGCGCTGCCGCTGCTTCTTGGAAATAATTAACTAGCACAGCATGGGATGTAGATGGCGTTTAATTAATAATGAAGAAAATAATAATATGTGGCACGTATAGCGCTGCACTTGTTCCAAGCACTGTACAAACATTAACTACAGTAATTAAGCTGTAATTAATTAGAGTAACCGCTAATCACTGTAAATAATGATGCATCTGGAGGTAGCGAAAGGAGTCTGCGGGCTGAAAGCAAAGTTCTGGGTTTGGGAAGTGGCATCGAGGATAAAGTGGCACCTGGGGGGGGACCGAGCGCGTGGAGGGGCCAGAGCTGGTGGGAAGCTGCGGTCAGCAGAGTCACAGACACCACAGGTAGAGAATTTTTTTTTTTTTTTTGCTGGTTCACACACTTTATATTTAACAAAATAATTTTTTAATAATATATTCTTTTACACGTCAAATATTGTTTCTAGAACCCCCACCCCCCCCGCTTTTTTTTTTACAGAATAGTTTTGTTTTTTGTTGTTTTTGTTTTCTTTTTCTCACTAGTTTCAGGCACACTATTGTTTGAAAATGCTGAAGCTGGGCAGTCACTGACAGGCAGCAGCTTACAACTCAACGTGACGATGGCTTCGCTCGCGGTGCGCTGCGGGGAGCAAATCCTCGGCCGCAGCACGGCCAGCACCGCCCTGGTGCCTGTCCTGTGCCAGCCGAGGGCCTGCCCCCGCCGAAACACAAAATGGGGACGAAATAAAAGGATAAAGGCAGCGCTGCGGCGCCGCTGAGCGTGCTGGCTGGTGTCGCTGGAGGATGCCGTGGGCAGGATTTGCTGGGCCGACGTCTGCCCAAAGTGATGGTGATGGGCAAAAAGCAGCAACCAGGGGCGTGGGTGGAGGAGGGACCCTGGTGGCTTTTCCCTTGCCGTACCGGCACGAAGGGAACTGGTGCACGGGGGTTTGGTCCCTGCTGCCAGCGTGTCCCAGTCCTCCCGTGCCTGTGGCTTTGGCTGCTCCCAGGAACACGGGTGGCTGTGCCCTGGCCCCTGAGGGGAGCCCCAGGCTCTCTCCACCACCCCAATGGGACATCACATCCAGAGGTGAGCCAAACCCCATCCCAAGCCCTCAAAACTCCCTTCCTGGGTAAGCTTGGCCCTGAAAAATCACAGGGAGAGTAACTGGCCCGAGAGAAAGAGCTGGGGAGAAACCTCTCAGACCCAGGGAGGCGGCTGCTTTCCCGATGTCCTGGCGAGGATGTTGGTGCCCAGGTAGGTGTCCCCATGCAGTGGGGAAGGTGTAGCACGGGTACAGCTCACCTCGGGGCGTCCAACCTCATAGCCACGCACCCACCTCCATCCTCCCACAGGGCACGTTCCCCTTGTGTTTCTCAGCCCCATTCTCCCCTTTTGGTCTTTGTCTCCCCCGCCCTCCCCCCCAGCATAGACACAACAGGAATTACCCAGCGCTTCGCTCATAGCTGTATTGCCCCGACTGTCCCAGCTTAGGAAGAGGCTTTAAAAAAAAAAAGATAATAAATAAATCACAACAGCAAAAGAAATTCAGTAACCGTGAAAAACCACGGTCCACATCGTAGAAAGTGAGAGCAGTGGCTGAACCGGTGCCTCGGCGGCGTCGCCAGTCAGAGAGCTTGCACAGAGTTGGTTTGTTGTTGTTGTGTTTGTTTGTTTTTCCTTTTTCCTCCCCAAATTTCACTGCCGAATCCCTCCCGAGCGCTGACGATTACCAAAGCGGAGCGGCTGCCCGGGTGCTGGAGGATACACGGGGCGTAAAGCAGGGGATCGGGGGGGACCCCTCTCCCGCGAGGAACCCCTCGGAGCCCCGGAGGCTTTGCTGGTGACCCTGCTGCGGCCGGCGGGGTGGGAGCGCGGGGGCTGTGCAGCTACAGCGCCTGCTTGCCCTGGCACTCGCGCTTGGAGCACTGCGCCGGCTTCCACCAGTCCCCATTGTGGCAGTGGCAGATGTTGCAGTCGTCCACCTTCACCTCGATGCCGGCCGGGATGATGGTGGTTCCTGCAAAGCAGTTGGGACCTGCGGAAACACGTAGTAGGAATGAATACACTTTGTTTTTTGGGGGTTTAATTTAATTAAGTCGGGTATGAGCTGGCATTTCATCCTGCCTGGGGGGCTGTGGCTGCCCCATCCCTTAGGACTCCGGGGAGAAGCAGGATTTTGCTCCAGCCAAGGAAATTCAGCAGCAGGTGTTGAACAGGTCCCTGGCCATGGGACATGGGGATGTTTTAAGGCTGCTTTTGGCCGGGGATTGCACCAGACAACCCCCAAAGGTCCCTCCAACCTCCGTTTCGGAGCCAGGAGTTACCAGCCAAGGGCATTCAGAGAAACTGAAAGGCCAAACTCAGTGTATAGATGCATACATAAAATCTCTGTGCATCTTTTTTTGGCAACCTTTTGCATCATTTTTTTTGGCTGAGAAAGTCTTCCAGCGAGGTCTGCAAGGCTGAAGGGGCCCACGAGCACACGGCTGCCTACAAGCAGTGGGACAAGACCTGAGCTCTCTGCACGGCATCTCGGGGTTGCTTTTTTTACAGCAGATTTACAGCACCGCCAGCCAACGACTCCCAGGGGAATACATGAGGGGAGGCTGAGGTCCCCAGGTCCCCCGTTTTGGGGACAAATCAATGGGGAAGGGAAAAATGCAGCAATTTGGGGTAAATCAGGGGAACCAGAAGTGGGGAGAAGCTGCAGGGGATGAACAAAGCAGCACCGAGCATCCCCGGGCTGTCCCCATCAGGCCACCTGAGGGACCAGCTGTGCTCAGAGGCTGGAGAGAAGGGGAGAATTGCAGAAAGCGGGGTTTACCCCTCTCTGAACCTCTCCCACCTCGGATCTACAAGTGGGCCCTGTTTTTCCAAACCTGCTGGCAGCAAGCATCAAACCACATGCTGAGGTACGAGGAAGATGCACTCAGCGAGGGAAACCTGCTCTGCTGAAATGTAGTGGAAAATAAGCCCCAGACGTGTGGCATTTTCTTTTTCACTTTGTCTGCCCCTCAGATCGACCTCCCAGCATGTCCAAGGCTCCATGCCCCAAACCTGCTGCCTGTGCCGAGCATCTCCCACCTTGTCCTGATATGTGTAAAAGCTCCCGTGGCCCTGACTGCTACGGGAGCAGCGCAGCAATCCCCCTTTTCTCAGGGAGATGGAGGAGGGAACTTTGCTGCTCCCACGGACAACGTAAAGGGGAGATTTGCTTTGCTTAATATAATTAATACTCATGCGAGAGCACGGCGCTCCGGGCTGTTTGCTAGAGCAACTGGTGAGATTTTTATGGTGATACAGCACACGGGTTCTGGCAGTTGCTTTCATGGCAGCACGAAGAGAAAAACTATTTACATCTTGGCTTTTAGGCACTGATTTTGCAACCCCTGGACGTCAGACTGGACAGCCAGGGGATGGCACACGTTGTCTGCTGGGGTCTCCTGCTCCTCCAGGAGCCTCCGCAGCCCTTTGGAGGGATGAGGGCTGAATGAGGGCCCCGGGGGAATTCAGCACATTCAGCTGGTGGCCATAGCATTCCCGTAGCATTCAGGAATGGATACAGCTTGCAGGCATCCCCACGGATGCTCATTCAGATGAATGAGCCTTGATTAATTTGCTTTTGGAGCTTGACCATGAGTGCAATAAGGCGTAGGAATGAACTGCTGGCAATTTGTGTCGAGCCCGAGCAACGTGGCCGGGTGCCCTGTGCGGGGGGAGGCAGGCGGCGCGCAGCCTGCACCGAGAGCACCCCCAATCTGTGGTGTCTCCAGCGTGCTCCCATCATTGCTTGGCCAAAATCACCACGTACAAAGTGACGACTGGGCAGGACGTGGGCCAGGAGCAATAAGAAGAGCCAGAGCCCCTTGAAAGTCCCTAAGGCAGAGCCCCTCTGAAGCCGACCTTCAGTTTCTTTTCCCCCTTTCCTGCACTTCGCTTCTCGCAAGACCTGCTGCCAGCCTTTCTCTTGCACTGCCTATTTAGGAGAGATTTTCCCTGCCATCATTCACCTTGCTAGGTGCCTGCAGATGCCTAAAAGTTATTTAATCTCTGCATTAAAACTATATATATATATTTCTGCAATATCCTCTTCTAATCTAAACCCGAGTCGCTCGCTCTAATAAAGCACTACATCAGGAAAAGGAGTGCACTAAAAAGGTGAAACTGAGCTGAAAAGTTAAATTCTGTGTCTCTTCCAGGCTGTCCCCATGAAGGGCTGCTCACAGCACGGGCACGAGGACCCAAATCTCAACCAGAACACGCTCGGCCGACCCCCAGCATCTCCTGGTGGCATCTGAGGAGTGCAGGGCAGGGACTTGAGGCCCCTGAATGATGCCCGGGTCCCAGTGACGCAGATGGATTTAATCCTCGCTGCTTCGCACCATGCTTAGACTGTTACCTGCAGCTCGTTACCAGTCTTAATCGTTGTCAATCCCCCAAACAAATCACAGAATCACAGAATGGGTTGACAAGGCCCTTTCAGGCCCGGCAGGGAGTTGCCCCACAGGCCTATCCCTGACGGCCCTCAACCTCTCCACCTCCTCCTTGAGCCCTGCCACACCACAAGCAATGCCTCAGCCAGTGCAACCACCACCTCTTAACTGAGGTTTCAGCAGTCACCTGGCCAAACGAGAAGGATTATCTCTTTAAAATCCCTTTACAGACAGCATAAAGCTTTGGGGGAATATGAGAGCTTTTTAAAAATATAGGTAGATTTTAATGGCGGGCAATGAAAGCCACTCCTAGGTCATGCTAACCTTTCAGGGTCGTAATAGGCTTTTAAAAACTTGTCTAAATGGGTATTTCCCCAAATGAACTCCAGCTGCTCTGAAAGTACATTAATTCTTTTAATAGATCCAACACGGCAAATCTTTTTTTTTTTTTTTGGTGGGAGGAGGGGCTGGTATAAAGGATTAATTTAAAATAAATCTATGAATAAAACTGCCATGCAGGTACTGCCTCGTTAGCCCTGCCCACGCAATGGTGTTGGGGCACCCGCTCACCTGCTGGGGCAGGGATCAGGGGCTCCTGCAGGCAGCAGCAGCCCCGTGAGCACGGAGATGTGGTGGGGAGCCCTCATCTACTGAAGGAGGTGGCCCAACAGCCATCGAGTCCCCAGTGTCTGGGGCTGTGCTCTCTGCCGGGGTGTCTCCATTCAAAGGCCAAGGTTAACAGCAAAAGTAGAGCAGCCGGGACGTTTTCTCTGGCCCTTTGAGGTTTTTAGCCAACTTCCTCACCTCTTGGTTGTGCTCCGTATGAAAATTTAATCATTTTTACGGCCCATTTAAACATTTTTATGTCTTTTTTTTTTTTTTCCTGCAGAAAAAAACCCCGCGTTTGATGTAAGAATTAAAACAGTATTTCACCCCTAACTGCAATCACAGATGATGTACGGAAGCGAGCTGGCTGCACGTCAAATCAATGTAAAGCCAGAACTGAATATAACTTGGTCACTACAGCTGTGCGAGATGTTTTATGCTTTTTTTTTTCTTTTTCTTTTCTGTATCAGTCATAAAACGAGGCGAAAACTGTGACTGTGCTGATTTTGTATAAAACAAGCTTTCCAATACGTGACAGAGGAGGAAAAAGGAAATGGGATTAGTACATATGTATCTGTGTGCTGCATTTAATGTGCAGTCTGGTGAAAAATAAGAGAAAATAAAGACGGATGCTCGCTGGGCAGCACCTTTACAAGAAACGTGCCCTGATCTCCTCTGCTGGGACCCGCACGGATGTCTCCAGCAGCTGCAGGAGCAGCTTTGATCCACGTTTCCGTCCCCTCATCTCCCTCTTCCGAGGGCCCATTACGCTACCTGAATTTAATGGTATCCATGGCACTTGCACAATGCTTTCTAATGGGGCCGTGCAAAGAGTCAGGTTGCTAATAAAATCAAATGAGCAGCGCTGGTTTTGCATGTGAATGGTTGCATTTAACGAAGCCATCAAATGGAAAGGGATCGCACTTGCCGTCGCTAATAATGCCGGGTGCCACTACAAATGCATTACCACGAGCTATGTGGGCTCCGACACGCAGGAGGATGCCGGGTGACATTACTCCGATGTGACAGGGCGGGAGAGCTGTTTTGCACGGCGAGGTAGCAACTAGGAATGAGGAAAGGCTGGGGGAAATTTACGGCGGGTACATGCGATTCTCCAACACCCCCCCAAATTTTCAGAACGCTTCATTACCCCTCACGCTGCCGGTCTGTTTTCATTAGGTGTCACTGGGTACAGCTGTTTTGTACTCTCTGGCCTTGGTGGCACCACTGGTCGAGCAGCTCACAACCTTTTTCCACTGCTCCTAGAGCTACACAGAGAAGACCTGGGGTGGTGCTGCCCAGGTAGGGGTGGGGAGGGCACAGCTGTGGGCACCCACCCACTCCTGTGGATGGGGTGGAGCACCAAAACCCAGCAGATTCACCGCACCAGCAGGGTTTTTCTGGGGGATTTCGGCCGGCCATCACCTTATGCTGGCATTACAGGGCACTGTTATGGGCAGGGGAGAGGTGCCAATGCTGGGAACCAGGACCCCAGAAGGAAATCCCACAGTCATCACTTAAAAGTCACTCCTGCCCTGCTCCTTCTCACCTTCCTTTTTGCCTCTAGAAATTTATTTAAAAGCCAGAAGCGGGATTTAGACGTTAGAGCAGCTACTGACCTGATACGAGTTAATGATTTTACAAAATGCCTAAAAAATGTCTTACTTTAAAAGATTGATGTTTCCTATTGTATTTTTTCAATGCCAATTAATTACTTAATTCATTAGCAATGTAACACAAGAATAGTCTTTGAAAATCCAGTGCTTTGTGTAGATGCCTTTAATTATGGATAATTAAATACTGTGGAAGGACCTGATTATACCTCTGAGCATTTTCTAATCTGGAAAATGAAACACGGTCTTGTACCCTTCAATGCTTGTAGCGAACGCTGAGCTCGACAGCCACACGCAGGAATATTAGGGGAAAAAAAATAAAAATGAAGCCCAAAATTTAGGTCAGAGGAAGGTTTTCTCAACTAAAGGAGATGTGGCTGGGGAAGATCGAGGAATTACGGCACACGTCTCTGCACGGGGCTTTCCACCACCCATGCCTTGCTGGGAAATTATTTCCTTACTATACTCCTCACCTACACCTTTACTCCTTATTTTACATTTTTATTTACTCCTTATTTACACCACGGCCAATTCCTGCCCCCGCAGCTGAAAAGCAACAGATTTCCTTCTCCCTTAATTAAAAGCCACCGATGATGATGATGGCGAGGGAGCATAAAGGTTTGAGGTGAGGTGAAGTTTGGCCCCTACAAAATCCAGCCTGCCAGGCTCGCCACCGCTTTGACCTTACCATCTGGGAACGTTTGGGCCACTCGGATGTTACGTGGGGAATTTTGCTCTTTTTCTTTTTCCCCACCAGGCTGGTAGAAAGCTGATGATACCAGGCTGAAGTTCAACCAGCACCTGCAGAGCTGTTTTGCTGCAAACTGCCCTTTGTGCAAGCGCTTTGTGCAGCGGAGAAAAGCCAGATCCTCACCGGGTACACGGTGGTATGAGTGACGTTGCTGACTGCTGGGCTCACGTGCATAAATGCCGTGGTCATAGCACACGAAGGAACACCATAACCTCTCCTGGAAAGCATTACAGGGAGGATAAACCTCATTTACACTCGCTGAAAGGGGGGCTTTAGAGTAGCCAGCTCTCAGCCTGTGCTCCTTCAGCACCACCTTGATGTTTGGCACGGAAAAGCTCTCCAACACTGATCTAGCTTGACGCTGGACCTGTCTTGTCACTGGGGACACGTCCCTGCTCCTCCTGGGTGTGTGTTGGGGTCCTGCTCCTTCTGCTCCAGCACCCGAGGGTTCAGCACTGCGAGGAGGACACACGTGTGAACGTCCCCAAAAGGAGCACTGCTTGCTGGCCTGCTGCAGGGCCAGCCGCCCCACCTCCCCCTGGCACCCAAGGGGCACCTCCTTTGGCTGCCACATCCCCGTGGGGACTCGCAGTTCATCCCCAGGGGACATCACAGCATCCCTGACCGGGACAGCATGAGCCTGGAGCAGTGCGTTCACTCTCTCAGGAGTAGCCATGAAAAAATGTGGTTTTGGTGCAAAAATATAGCAAATTAGTTATTAATACTGCAGACAGATTCCCATTTTAAATCAGTTTCCCAAGTCCTTAGTAATTACTGCTCGACGGTTTCCGTAATACATTTCTTTTTCTGTTTGACACAGCTTGAAGAGTGACCAAAATTATCTCCTCGTAGCACGGGGAGGGCGCGGGAGCCTTGCGCAAGCCTACCGCAGCGCGTCCAGCAGAAGCGGGCTAAATGCACCCATTAATTGGCATTAATTGCAGCCCAATGAGCAGGGTGGTGATTGCAGTGCTGCCGGCACGGGGCCGGTGCTCGGGAGCTGTGGGCTGAGGCAGGGAGATGCCGCACACAGCCGCTGCAGGTGAGTGATCCGCACGCACGAGGAGCCCCTTGGACGTCAGCAGTGGCCGCGGTGAGTCAGGGATCGCAGCAAGGCTCTTCTGGGCAGCACACCCCGTGGCTCCTCGGCCTGAATGAAGTCGGAGCCTTGCAGACGAAAGCTCCAGCGCTGCACGGTGGCCGTGTGACGTTCCTTAGAGGCTGACCGAGGAGCTGCCGGGGATTTACCTGCTGCCGGGGGCAGTGTGAAGGCAGGGTGGTGTGTTGGTTCCCAAGGCAGAAACCACAAACCAGAGGGATGTGCCGATGAGACGCAGGAGAATTGCTGCAGTATTGCACAAGGACCCTTGTATCTGCCTCTCCTGACATTTCCCAGGTGCTGTAATTAGGCAAGGGAGAGCAATTAAAAGTGCAGGTTGCCCCTTGTGAGTAGCAGAGCCTGCAGGCCTGATCCTGCGAGGTGCAGAGGGCTTCTTGGGAAGCGCCGGGTGCCTTCAGCTCTCTCCAGCCAGGCATGGGCGGTGGCAGCCCCTCCATGGGCCCAGCACCCAGGAGTGCCTCAGCACCATCCTGGACCTCACGACTTACCCTGGCGAGGACGAGAATCCAGTGGGAAGGATGCTCCATGTTGCAGCCAGAGATTTGAGATGTCTGCTAGTCCTTTCCCACTTGTTTCCCCAAAAAATAAATTCAGAGCAGGTTCTCTAAAATGATCTGTCGGGCAAAAAGCCACTGCATCTTCCTCTTCATTTGAAATGTTCTTAATTAAAAAATAAAGTCTATATGCAAGATTGTGCCTCCCTCCCAGACTAGAGCCAGTGCATTTTGAAAACACTGAAATGGGCATCGGATCATTCCAAGCTTTTTTTTTTTTTCTCCAAGGTAGGAACAGCCAGTTTGCAATAACTGGCCTTTTTCCAAGGAACACGGCTGTGAGTCAGCAGTTTCTGACCAGCACATCCCCAGCCTCTTCAAATGCTCTCAACCAGCAACAGTGAAAAAAAGTCTGAGCTTTGAGGAGTCTTGGACAAGTCTGTGTGCGCCCTCACGCAGACCACTTCTCATGATCTAGCCCTGCGCAGGACACTGGTGCTTTTATTTGTGGTACCTCACCTCCTGCTCCCTTTACTCTCAGAACTGTCAGCTTCTCTACCAGCACAAGACTGCTGCCACAACATGTCCTTAATTGGGACGAAAACACGGCTTATTTTATGTGTAAAGGAGATGCATCACTTCACATCAGTTGTGGGACTGGAACGTATCTAGATTTTTTTTTCCAAGCTACTTGTTGAATTCCTTGTGGCAATTCCAGTTGCAGAAATGGTTAACAGTGGTGGAAATGGGTACCAATACGCACATCCTAAAGTTTATCTGAAAAGAATAAACCTGGTGAGACCCATGCACAAGGAATACATTGTTCACGTAGCATAGGATACATGTGACGGGGCTGTAGGGGCTCTGAGATATCTAAGGGAAGGCTTGGTTGCCTTTCCACCTTCCTAGGAGATAAAATCTAACTTTTATTCACCATCTTGTGCGCAAAAATAAGGCTAAATCGTGTATTCGATGGGATGACACATCTGGAATTTGTGCTGGTTGGTACACTGCTCACTCACAGGGCAGGTTTCACTGGAATCCTCTGCCTCTAGGGCACTGGCAGTGCTTGGTGCTTTCCAGGCTGTTCTTTCCGTGGCTCAGACGTGCCAGCAGCTACATGGTGCTGATGATCAGGGTGCCACAGTGAACTTCCCAGCCCTTGCTTTGCTGTATCAGCAGGGCCAGAGATGCCGAGGAGCCAAGCCAGACTAACAAAACCAGCCACAGCAAAGAAAGCAACGTCCCCTCCTCTTTTCCACTGGGCGTTTATTTGCAGATGACCAAGCCTAAGCTCTTCAATCTTAGGTACTAATTCAGATCAACATTGCAAATGGGTTTTCCAAACAGAAACTGAAAACAAACAAACAAACAAAAACCACAAGAAATTACCTCCCCCAGCCAGCCAAGCTCTCCAGGAGATGTACTCTGCCTGAAAATCAGGGGTAGAGATGAAAAAAAATGCACCATAAAAATATTTTCTAATCTCTCCAGACAAACTGGCTGGCGAGATTGCAAGTGTAACAGGCTAGGATGATGTGCAAATATGCAGTAATATCCAGAATGAGACCGCTGTGCTGATTTCCTTCGCAAAGGTGTGCAGGGGTAGGAGAGACAGAAGGCTGGGACTGAGATGCGGGACCCTACCGAAGAAGCAGAGGGGATGGAGAAAGCTAAAAAAAAAAGTGGGGGGAAGGAGAGGAAGCAGGAGAAGAAAACTTCTACGTGCCTTTTTTTAATTCTAAGTTTTCTCAGACTTGCTTAGCTCTAATCTTTAATTCATATTTTCATTACAGTCTCTTTGCTCTGTAAAGTCTGCATTTCATGTAAAAGGAGCAGCTCAAACATCAATTATTTGACATAAGTCAACCCCTTGTTAAAGTCCTCTACTCTACATATATGTTGGCTCCAATAAAAGAAGCATTAAACATTCATTAAATTAGAAATACATGAAGACAGTGTCTGCCACTCTTTCCATACAGATATGCTTAATAATCCCAGCCTTCGAGAGGAGCAGAAGCAAACCCATCTCTAATCCTTTCAGAAAGCCTGACCATGCAAAACACCCCAGCCTCCTGCAATTTGCCTGTGAGTCACCCGGAGATATCAGCTCTTGCAGGTCAGATCCTCAGTGGGAGGAAATCCGAGCAAACCAACGCTGCTGGCATTACACCAAGTGACACAGACTCGGGAATTGGCTCCAGGTTTCTCTTGCAGCAAAGTGGTTTACAGCAATGTAATTGGATAAAAACGTCGCTTTTGGTCTTACACATTGCACGAAGAATCTGATTATGTTGGGGGACAGCAACAACCACCCCTGTTTGAATTTCAGTACTGCCTGGGCTGCTTATGTTCTGCAAAAGGAACCTGGTTTCCCAACAGGAATCTAGGAATTTTTTCACCAAAAAAAAAACAAGCCCACCCCCTCCTCTACAAAATGCTACCACGACAGCAGTGGCTCTGGAACCACTTCTGCCACAGACTTGTGCACACAGATTTCAGCAACATTTTCCCAACGGGAAACAATCCCCAGTAAGCAAATGCATCTTCATAAGTATCTCCGAGTTTTAAAGACCAACGCAGACCACACACAACATGTTTCCAACACCTCCATGAGCTGTGTCCTTTCAATGAGAGCTTCGGAGCAAGTCCCATCCAGCAAATGACTTCTCGTAATCCTCCCCAAACCTTCTCTTCAGGGTGATGGTAGACATTCATTTAAAGCTCTGCTGGGGCATGGAAACATGGTTAGGACCTTGGGTACAAATTGAGGGTGGTGGCTTTCAGCTCCTGCCTGGCAGAGTCTTCTCCTGCCTCTACTATGTGAACGATCCTTTTCTTGCTTCCTGGGCAAAGGGAAAGGCCACAAACACTTGGGAAGCACTTAGCTGGCCTGTGAGCTCACAGATGAATATTTGGGGTTGCAATGGGCCGTCGTCCCGCTGGCTCCCCACCGCAGCACTCCTTCCATCGGGCTTTTCCTGGCAGTGTCCCGGTCGCTCTCATGCTACACAGTCCCGCAGCTTAGTTAATCACATTTACTGCTGGTCAGTTCGTGTCTTTTTTATTCTCTAAAGGCCTTTCCACTCCCTCCCCTCTTACAGTTTCTCCTTCTTCTATGCTTTAGGAGGTGGTAAATTCAACCCAGCCCTGTTTGATGCTCCCCAGCACCGGGATGGCTCATTTTGGAGGATTTATTTGTATAGCTTTCCAAAGCTTCTCACCAATATCAGGTGACTTCCAACAGCTGGGTCCACAGGGAGCAGGTCATAGTCCTGATTCAGCAGCATATTGAAGCATCTGCATGAGATTTCCAAAAGCAGCAGAAGGGTTTACAGATTCCTATGCACCTAACTCTCATCAGAAAATTCGGCGTCTACCAGCCTTGAGCCAGTTGGCCCGAAGTAATGGAGGTGAAAAAGCTCTGCTGAAAATCGATTTCAGTGAAATAACATCTTTTTAAAGGAACAGTAGAGCAAGTACTGAAGTATTTTGTTGGGTCAGTGGTGGCTTGGCCCAAATATACCGCCTTGTTTTCAGCCTTGATCTTTTACCAGCTTTTAAATCAATCCCTTTCTTCCTTGGTTGGTAATCAAATCACTCCTTTAATTGAGCTAACAGGGCACCGCAGTTTATGTTCCTGCTGGTAAACACAAAGAACATTAGCTGACAAACAATCAAAAAGGCATCCTTTGTAGTCTCAGGAATTTTCTTTTGTGTTCAGCCTTCCATAAGCATCGATTTTCATAGCTAGGCACGAAGCCTCGATGTAGCGGGCTCTGCCACTGCAATGTTAAGGCCGCTTCTACAAGTGCTGCAAAAAACAGGAGACTCCTGATTTGGGATGGTGTCCAAAAGGGAAGAAGACTCCTGCTCCGGGCTGGCATCTTTTCATCAGCACAAAAGGAGTCAGCTGTGGAACAACCACCAGCCCCCATGCCCTGGGTGAACGCAGCGTGACGAGGAACAGGTCCTTCCCGTGGCCCCTCAGCGTGCCGTCCGAAAGGGCTGCTGGCTGTGGGGGCAACTGAGTACCCAAAAAGCTGGCTGGCTGCCATCAATTCTTCATCCACCAAGAGCAAAGGGTGACGTGGCTATGCTATGCTACTGGTTTCGGTCTCCCCGACCTACAAAGAGGGTTGTGGAGTCCAGCAAAGTCCATCATGGGAGATACGTCTTCTTCTTGGCCGGTCACACTCAACTTGCATTTGCACAATCAATCAGCATATTGCATAGACTTTGACTGAAGGGGTTTTAAATCTTAAAATCTGGCCATTTCAGGACTTCCTGAAATAAATTAGAAGAGGAATTTTATTTAGTTTTTTTCTTTTTTTTCTAAAGGAATTTCCCCATGGTTCCAAACCACTGCTTTCCACAAAGTAAATGAATATGAAGTCTTCTCGTGTCGTCTTGCCACATTTTCTGTGTTGTTTTTACTCTGCAACAGTTGTATATAATCAAATGGCACCAAACATCCTCTCCCCAAAACCTTCATTTTTTTCCTCATACTTTTAATTTTTTTTTTCCTCATCTCATTGATTTTTTTTTTTTTGGTCAATGATCATGTTAGAAGCAGATGCTTTCCAAAACAATGACCTGGAGAGTCAGTGATCCACATCTTGCAGATAAAGAACAAGCAATATTTATGCAGTAAAGCACAGGTAACTTAATATCCAGGCACTGGATTATATGGTATTAAAATCTTGGCACATTTCGAGATATCCAATAATTTGGAACAATACAGACCACATGGGAAAGTTCTTTCTGTCAATATTGGTTAACGACTTGCACTGTTAATCCATTACCCTAACCCATAATACAGTAAGCAATTTACATTTATATGGAGCCTTTTGTCTCCCAAAATCACAAAGGGCTTTGCAAAATTAACACTCCCACAGCACAATACCTGGGCCCTGATTGGGTTGTCTTGATGATTCAGAAGGAAGGGCCCTGGGCATTGACTGAACGGCAGGCAGCATCTCCGTTTATTTTGGTGAAGGAAAGGCTGCCCCTGGCTTTGTTGGGCTGGGAAACTCCTTGGGGGATGCTCTGGGCAAAGCACACCGTGGTACAGAAGGAACAGGCTGGGGCGCCGAATGCTGATTTCAAATTAACTTGAACTGAGAAATAATGAGCAGCGAGTTTATATTCTCAGCAAATTAAGAGAGAAGCTTAGGTAAAATGTGGCTTCATGTGCTTGGAAATAAATTATTATATCCATGGAAATAAATTATTATTTACTCGGTTTTGTGCTCACGCCCTCAAATATGAAGATGTTTGTATGGAATTATTAATATTTATAGCACATTATAATAAATCCCGTAACAGCTTTGCCTGAATACATGCTACTTTCCCAAGGTAAAGTCTACTGAAGGTCAAACGGATCTTCTACTTGTGCATGGAGGGCAGGACCAGACCCTTTACTTTGAAATCTGGATCAACTGTGGTAATTTAGAACTTTAATTAAAGACTCGGTGACAGATTATCTATGAGACGTCTTCCTGCTGCCCAGTATTTCATCACGAATGCCTCCAGAAGCCAGTGCTAAACTGAGTAAGCACACTTGCCAGGAAGTATTTCACCGCAGACATGTTAGCTTTTATCTGTCTTGTTGTGTAACAAATTCTTTTGTTGAGGGTTGGTGGCAACAAAAATTAAATTAAGAGCAAAACCAGACCCCCAAACAGAGATTTATAATGCTTCTTCTCTTCATCCCTCAAGAAAATGAAAGTGCCAAGGCAAAGTCTAATATTTTAGCAATTGCGTTAATGTATGTGTAAATGGGCGAAGGCGCCTTTGAAACGTGCTGAAAAGAATTTCACACTTCAGGGAGGGGAAAGAAGTTAACAATTCTATCGCGGCTTTTATTGGAATTTTAAAATTAATTTCCCTCACACAGGGAATAAAAATCCCCCGTGATGATGAAGTTTTGCTAACGTTGAGATTATTTTGGGATGCGATGCCGAGGGAACGCTTTGCAGAATCTGGAGAGGGTGGGACCCAGGGGATGGGTCCACCTGGGGATGATAACCACCTGGGCATGCCTACAGCCCTAGTTGCAGGAGGATGGGACCTCGGGGGGGATTTCTGCCCAGAAAGGCTTAGGTGGGAGCGGGGTGGATGGATGATCTTGCCCAACTGCTGGAGAGCCTGGGGGCAGGAGGGATGGCACAGCCCACGGCAGCCCCCAGCTTGACTTTAACAGTAATAGTCAAGTTTTGGGTCCCATGAAGGATAGAGTTAACAGGAGCTGACATGCTTTTGTCTGGAGAAGCCACAATGACTACAAATAACAACTCCGGGCCATGATTCTGCAGTCTGTCACTACCAGGAAACGTGAAATCCAGTGACCTTTCATCTCCACGACAGAAATGCTGTGCAGCACCTGGAGCCATTGCCCTTAAAATGCGCTCTGACAACCCAAGGACGACGGGCCACGAAGGAGAGAACATCCTCTCCTTCCCTCACCCCCAAATTTTGGCCTCCCTGTGAACTCGGCTTGCTCTGCGTGCAGTGCGGGTCCCGTGCCCAGCAGAGCCAGCACTGCACGAGCCATGTGCATTTAGCAAAGCACGAGGTAACAATTCCATTTCTTTTGACAACAAGGAATAAATCTCCAAAGCCGCTTGTTCAGACTGCTCTTAAACGATGGTAGAGGGAGGGAAATTGATATTGGCTTTTTATGAATCTTCAGGTCAGGTACGTTAGAATCAACAGATTTTTGCATTAACCTCACTGCTTCACAGCACTTTTGCCCTTGGCAAGACATAATTAAGAAAGGCATGAAAATCTATCTGAATGTATCGAGAGGAAATTATTCTCCAGTTAATGGCAGCAACAGCTAAGCAAGCAGGCAAACCACGCTGCTAGCAGAGCGCAGCAAATGATGCGGGGCTGCGTTTTAAACCAAAACAAGGATTTTCCTCACCACAATTTCAAGGAGCAGCTTTTGAAATGAGGATTTGTACTACATGTTGTCCTGGGGATTAACTTTTTTTTTTTCCCCCAACAGCTGTAGCCCTTGAGCTCTTCTCTCTGCCGATCTAAAAGGATGACCACAGGGACTGAGACTAAGCTAAAATCTTTTCATCACACCGAGACGTGGCACTGTAATGTCTTCACTGCTTTGGTAGAAAGAAAAAGCTACTGGATGGAAGGAGAAAAAAAAAAGAAAAAAAAAAAACAAATTACAAAAAAGAGGGATTTTGGTCATTTAAGTGGGACTGTCAGCTTGTGTTATCCTCATGCATTTGTGAAACTGAACTTTAATTGACTGGCTGCAGTGGAGAGCTGAAAGATAAAATCGTGGTCTCAAGATGAGCAGACAGCTTAAAATGTTGTGATCCTCATTCATTAGGATGTGTCAGAGGGGTTGGGAGGGGAAGAGGCACAGCAATGACTGTTATTCTCTCACATGAAGTTACCAAAATGTTAGAGGGAAGCAAAGGCTGGCTCCACTCTCGAAGCTACATCCAAGAAGAATAAAAAAAATGTGCTCATCTGGTTCCCTGTGACAACCAAGACTATCTTGGTGCCTACTTATTTCTACCACTTTGCAAATTATTTCATACTATTTGTGAAGGATAGAGTCAAAATTACAAGCATTAGCCAAATATCAGCCAGTCAGCACAGACTGCAGCAGGAGGAGCTGAAAGCCCTCTGGGGGGTCCTGGCATCTCATCCCCACGGCCAGGCTGGGACATAAAGAGGGGCTCCCCTACAGGAAACCCCCACGTAGATACCCTCAAGGGACAACCACGCCACCACGCCTCCTCTCCCCTTCATCCGCTGCCGACTCAGAGCAGCAAGAACTGATCCCCAGAGACCCCCCAAGGTGTGCAGGCTGCTCTTAAGAGGATGTTAAGAAGTATTTCCTTGCCTAAACCAAGTTTCAGAGAACTTTATAATTTTGTCTCCAACAGATGAGTAGAGAAATTTGGCAAACCCATGGACGAAGCCTTTGGGCATCTAGCTGAGGGTCTCCATCACTACACCTTGCCCCGAGCCCCTTCTGCAGGTATCTGATTTTCTTCTTTCCTCCTGTCTTCCTCTCTCCCATCAGTAGGAGCTACTCCTTTCCCTGTCCTCCAGGCTCTGTTTTTGGAAGAAGGATGCTGCCCATTCCTGGTCACCAGGATGCTGGGGGCTAGAGCCATCGGCCCCCAAAGTCCACCAGACATGGGGGAGTCTGGTTACTGGGGGAGATGGTCTTGGTGGTGGAGGGCTGGTGGGGAAATCCAGCAGCTCCTGGATCTCTGTGAAGCCACCTTTGAGTCTGCACTCCTGGGAAGCCCGAGCAATGTTCACAGCTTGGATTTGTGCAATGTGAACCGGGTGGGAAGGAACTGGCAAGGGACGGGGATTCAGCACAATGCCCTGTAAGCAATGGGAACACAAAGTCTAAAACCACACCAACAGTGTTTATTTGGGTGCAAATGAGACTGAGCTATGGTGACAGACACCAGGATGGCCAACCCAGCCTCTCCTGATCAGCAGGGTGCCTCATGACAGCCTTTTTTTGTGCTCTTGTTGAATGCGATGGGAAACTTTGCACCCAACCTCAGTGGGCCACATGCAGAAACGGTTAAAAAACCCTTTTCTCTGAAATTCACTTGCAACAAACTAATGAAATTCCCTACGGACATTTTTCTGCTTTCCAACAGACACACGAAATTCTAGATTATACCTTTTAAAATATTTTTGAGGATGGTTTAATATAGACCTCTGGATTTCAATACCATTGGCATAATTTCCCAGACTGCTCAGAATTGTTCCAATTCCTTTAGTAAAAATGTTTTGGATTTCCAATAGTTTCATTTTCCCCTGTCTTAAAGAGCAGAAAATGTGTTGAAAATGTTATTTCTCTGAAAACATTTTCATTTGTGACCCAAAAGCAACCATTACTCTTTCATCCAGCAGTGGTGATGCATGTAAGAGGAAATACACATGGACAGCGAAGTCTAAACGCGAGGAGATGAGTCGAAGCAGCCACTTCTCACGTTAAGAAAGCCATGAAGTGGTTTATTTGAAGCCAGCCCCCCTCTTAATCTGTCTTCATATCTACATTAGGAAAAAGGTGCTTTTCCAGCGATGTATGTGTGTAGGGGCTGCGATACGAGACCTGGGAGACCTTGGAAACAGATTTATTTTCCAAAGAGGTACCTTCAGTCATCCCAAAGCCTTTCCTAGAAGTCTTGCTGAATCCTACCCCAATCCATGAAATTGCAGCACAACAACGAGGGCCAATGCTACGTACAGAGATTCCAGCACACAACTTTTAATGTTACGGGCTTAGCAGTCCCAGCTGGAGTTTGGCCATTGATTTCAATGAGTTTTCCCCTGGCCTTTGGTAATTAATAATCAAAGGCTTCTTAATTTAGGGACAAAGACTCTGCTCTTTCCTTACATACTTGATTTCATTTGGGACTATGAGAAAAACACAAAGACATGAAATGACCATGACTGATATCAGGACTTAATCCTATAAAGCCTTACTTAAGTCAGCAATCCCAAAACTTTCAATGAGATGACACAGGCCAGGAAGGGGAGCCTACATTTTTGTAGCTGTCATCTCATAACCAAAGCCCACATACCTGGAGGAGTAACAGCCCCAACCAACGCCAGTCTGTGCCAATGGAAGCGAATCTCCTGGCAATGCATCGGTAATGACATTTTAAGAAAATGTTTCCTTTATATCTCTTTGTTAAAGCCAATACAGTACTTTCTTACCATTTTTGCAGACCGGACAACACTGCTCTGGTTCATAGACTGGGTTGACACACTCGGGAACTGCGCAGTCTGCTACAACACAGTGAACTTCATTGCTGGGCTCGCAGCGACACCATTCGCATGGCGAGGGCTAGGAACAAATCTAAAATTAGCCCGTTTCCTCCCGCAGCTCACAAGTTTGCAACATTTCTAGCTTGCCATAAGATAAACACATCAGCGTTTAATACTTCTTGACTGCATTCATTCATCATGGGTAAAAACAAATTAACCTATAGGACAAAACATCAACATCGGAAATAGGCAACCAGAACATTAGAAAAACCAGCAAGCATGGTATTTGTTTTCTCAGAGAGGGTGTATCTTTTGCCAGGCTTTAGGTCTTGTCAGTAAGAAGCCTGAGCTGCAGGAACCAGGTCTAAAAGAGGTTTGATGGAGCGACCCACCTGCTCGCCTGACACCGAACGCCTCCTTAATATAACCATCGGATCTGGCCCCAGCCCCACTCCTGCCTGCTTTAACGAGGTTTGTGAGAAAGTGCCTCATGCTGTGAGTAATTAAGAGCCTGAATAACTCTGCTGAAATCAGGGAGTCTTGGATTAACACGCCTAGCTAAATGGTTTCGTTTCAGCTCCATCAATTCACAGAGGAATCTATCTACCTCCAAACATACAAATGGTACAGTTGTTGCTGCCTCACTCTAGAAGAAGATGTGAAAATCTATTGAAAAATAGACAGGTCAGTGTTTAGGGTTCCCCATATCCTTATGTGTTTGCAAGTGTGTTGAAAGAACGGCAACAGAGCTAAGAAAGGAGAACAAGAAGGGAATGTGAAAGGAAAATAACTTCCTTTCAGTACCTGTGGGCTCAATGCCTAGCTCCCAATTCCTCAGCTATGGTAGCTCCATCACTAACGCTTGGATGAGTAAATGTGGGTATTGGAACAAATGCTGCTTTCTGTTGCATCAGTGGGAACCTGCAGCAATGGGAGTTCCTTCGTGTTCAAAACAAACAAGCGAGATGCAAACAAAAGGTGGCATCATCCCCAGGTGTTTCAAACCTCAGTGATGTGTCACTCACTTCTCCAAGACAGACACAACCCCACGAGCCCAGGCTCTGGCAGGTAAAAAGCTTTTCAGTGCACCTCTGAGAAGCTCCATATGTCTCGAGTCAAATAATTTATTCCCAGGAAATTCATTTCTACCTTAAAATGCACTAATTAAAGCTTCCCTTGCTTTGTCTCAGCATCTGCAGTCTATAATTCCTATCACCTCTCATTTGCTCACGGCTTTGGCAATTTAGATAAAATCAGCACTCCTTGAGCAAGGGAAGAAGTCTGTGGAGGTGGAATTCCTCTCTCTAATTATCTTTCCTCATTCAATCCTGCTTTGATTTCTGTCTGAAACACCAGGAATCTAAATTCATTTGACTGACATTTCTTATTCGAGGCTATTTAATACGAAGAAACAATGCAGAAGGAAATAGACAGAACTATTTGCTGAGGGATCAATAAGAAAATTGCTGCTTTGTTTTTACTCATTTTAATCGCTAATTATATGGAGCAGTAGAACGAGATCTTTGGATTTGTGGAGGCTTTCACTGACGTATCCTTCGCTTTTGTCCCCGTCTCCACTACTCCAGTAGCTGCAATCCTAAGAAGCAGTGCGACGTGCTGCTGGGGCTGCCGCCCCATCTACTGCTCGAAGATGATCAGCAGATGTAGAAGACGCCCCTGAACGAATGTGCAGCTGAGTAAATGAGACATGACACGCACATCTTCTGCTATTGTGTTGTCGGTGTAACTTGAAAATGACACCGTAATAAACCGTGATGTTGCTTGACACCAAAAGCAGCTTTTCAGGAGGGAAAAACTGAGCACAATTATCAAAATAGAAGTAGGCCTCGGCAGTACGAGGAACACACCGCCAGCAAATGAAAAGGCTGCAGTGGCACAAACTACAAAACTTTTCTCAGCCACCTCTTCTTCCCCGTCCCATCAAGTTCAAACTGCATGGACTTGCCTCCAGGACTTTCCTTCCTCGATCTGACCATCTTGCTCATGTGCCCCTTTGCTGTGGCTCTCACCCAGCTCTGCTCCTCCATGGGTGAATCAGCCCTTCCTGCCCACTGATTTTATGAACGCCTCAGCACTTTCTCCCACCAGCCGTGTTTTGGGATCTTATTTCCAGACCCCTTTCAGAAAGCACTTTGCCCCAGGTGCACTGATCAATCCGATTTATGGGCCATTTCCCCTGGAGCTGCGCTTCCCACGCAACGACTATGGGATGCAGGCCAGAAAAGTCCTCTCTTTATCTCCATAGGCAAGCAGAGTACCAACAAACTGGGAACCAGTGAAGGAACTGGGAACCAGGGAAAAGATATCCCAAAGTTTTGCTTCCTGATCCTTTCATCTACTTCATTTGCTCTTATTTTTCTCCAGACCATGGCAATTACTCGTTTGGTTGTTAAGGGACCCACTATGCAGCTCTGCCAGTCTTCACAAGTTCCAGAATCTGGATTTCAAGTTTTATCCCCCACGGAGCAGGGATGCTTTCCATCACCAGTTAACAGCAGTCCCTGAAAAGAAACTCCCATCCCTACTGAGAAACGAAGCTGAGAAAATACGGAGAGTTTCTGAAGTATGAAGGAGAAAGGACACAAATCAGAGGCTCTGCCATTCCCACATGGACAGAGCAAACACTTTATTGGTGTTCCTTAAGGTGATATTCTGCAAAAAAAGGCTAAGATTAAAGGATCATAAAAGGCTTGGGCCAGAAGGTGATTTACACACTCCACCTGTCCATGGCACAATAATCTCTTGGAAGACTCTCTGGGGAAAGATTTGTTAGGAAGGATTTCAGGACATTGAGAGATATCAGTGCAGAAACTTTCTTCTCACCGTTGCCTGACATGAAGGGAAGCTCGCAGTGCCCAGCTGGACACAGATACACACCCACACCCCAGCTGCACCCTACACCCTGACGCTTCAAGGTGTGTTTTGGGCAACGGACGTATCATGAAACCAGAGGCGCAAACCTTTTGTCGAAGGTAGCAGTACCATTACTTGGGAAAAACAGTGCAAAGCACCTAACACAGCCTTTTCACCCAATTTTCACTGGTGACCCTTGGAGACCTGGCGAGGAAATTCCTTCTTTGATGTCACTGCCTGTGCAGGGGCTGACACAAGCCGCGTTGGGAAGAAGACGTGACTGATACCTGACCACCATTCGGGACCTTTTGTGAGCAGAGGAAGTGGGAATCAGCACCAAAATGCCCTTATCAGTCTCAGCACTGGTTCTGCTTCACCTCTCCTCCTACCTGTCACTTCGAGAGAGCACAGAAGCACAAACAAGGATGCAGACCCTGGACACCCTTGCTTACACGCCTCACCTAAGCTCACAGCCCAACTGCAAAGCCTTGGTCTCAGGTGTTGTCAAATGGGAAACATCTGCAGCTGGCGAAGTTCATTAACAAAGGAAGAGGGAAGGAAAATTAAAACAGAGAATAGAGAATACACATGACTAATAAAGATTTTATGTGCCTGAGCACATAATGATAAACTTGATAGATGACATAAACAAACAAACAAAAAAGGCAGCAAAGGAAACACAATGAGAACCAGGATACACTGTGAGTGGGGGAAATCAGGAGGCCAAACCAGATGTGGATACCGTATCTCCTAATCTTTACTCTTGCTGCCATACACACACCAGCTCTGCACCATTTTCACCCTCTCTTTGGGAGCAAGTGTCAGCACACGTAGGAATTAGACTTGCTAATGTCATCCAGCCACTCCTCACGGTGAATGGGAGCTGCCTTTCTTACAGGGCTGGGACCACAGCTCCTTCCCTAGTCCGTAGGATTCATAACCTCCAGAAATGTCATACCTCCCAGAGCTCTATGGCTGAGGGCTCGAGTCATCCAAAAAGCCTGGTGGACAGTGAGAGATGGCACAATCAAACAGTTGTTCAGGAAAATAGCCTAAAACGCAATCCCTTCTAAACTTGAGAGAGAGGTGGTGAAAAGAAAATGGCAATATGAATTCAAATCTCATGTCTAAATCTACACTTTTATGCTTTTCTCCAGATGAAGAGATCTCAATCAAACCTTTCCTAAACCAAGGCAGCGGGTACAGTCACACAAACAACTGATCACACAGAACCGTGAGTTTTTAGGTAAGATCTTGCAACAAGTTTCTGCAGTCCTAAGCTTTTCTGCACCTGAGACATCTCAGCTAGCCCCTGAAATCTGGTTGTCCCAAATGCTCACTGAACTTCACCTGTATTTCACTCTTAGCTCATGCCTTGTCTACAAGGACAGTATCCTAAGCCACCTCTCTGCTGCCCCAAACATGAAAGATCTTTCTGTAACATGCAGATCGCCCTGCAGAAGCTTATTACTGACTAGGAATAATTCTCCCTGAGTGGATGGAGTAAACTTATATGTAAGAAATATTACACTGCAGCTCTCCTCCCTGGCTCCAGTAAGGATTTCTGTCTGTGTGGGCTTGTCAGTCACTCTTTGCTGCTTCTACATAAAACCCTCTAGGAGTGCAAAGGAAGTGATTTTCCTAAGACAAGTGAAAAACTTCTCAGCAGACATATGATTGATACTTTTTTTTTTTTTTACCTGTTTGTTCTGCCAGTCAGAGGCGATTTTCCTTTTTTTTGCTTGCTCTGCTTGCAGTCACCAGGCTAAGCATCCTGCTGCCCTTCCACAGGTCCCCAAGCACGCTCATTTCAGTCCTGTATGAGGGCTCTCACGTATCTTAGAAGAGCTCTCAGGCCAAGTTTTAAGGCTGCAGACTCCTGCCACCAGCTGTGATTAATCCAGCTGGCTTCACTTAGGTTTGGGTGAAGCTCCTGATTTCCTCCAGGCATGCTTATCACAACCACTCCCTTCACTTTGGAGCCCTCCTTGCCCTTTCAGGACAAGACATCCAATTGCAGAGTACTTGCTCCATAGCTGAGTTTTCAGCCTGGTGGAAGAAGGTCTCTACCTTTGTTGGAGCCAGTGCGCAGGCTGCTCAAAGCTACTGCAAATTCTTGCAATTAACCTCCAGTCATCTCTTCCGAGGCTTATTCACTTATTAGGATTTATTGGGCTGCTCTCTTCCCCCTTCTTCCTACACAAA